CAGAGAAGACTATGTATTGTACATATATTGTAGAACCATTCTTTGGTCTATGTCATTTTAGGTTCATCTTCCTGAGGCAAGGGAGTTAACTGACTTTAAAAGTCTTTAAACGTTTCCAGCCTTGAAGAACTAGGCGGGAATTTCTGGGCTCGATCGTTGCGCCTCCAGTGTCTTTTACGAGTTATGTCCCTTCTATGTCCATCCTATTGACTAATAAGATTATATCACTCATATCACTTGCATTTGCTTCAATCAAAATAACGGTGCCCAGTCAAGACGATCTGATAAAAAAATCCAAATCTATATTGTGAGAGAACGGGTCTTACCTCGAGACGCGCATAAAATCACGTGGGCACCTTGATTAGAAACATGAAAAGTTTTGTAAAATATCTCAAATATGTCGAGTAGGCGGTAAACATGTTTTGCAAATCCTACAATCGACCGAAATCTGTACAGGAGTTTACGAACCGGGTGTCGATTTCGTTACACGTTTTTTTATTTTACTATGCATAGACTGGTTGCTTTTAGCAATTTAATCGTTATGTTCAAGGTATATTTGTATAAATATGTGCATATAGTGTTGCATAAAGCCTGAATACATTTTGATAATGTCCCCAGTTGCTAAATGGTTGGCGCAAATAACAAACATGTGTTTTAGTGTCGTATGACGTTAGGCAACAAGCACTTACTTTTTATGACCTACTTTCAAAGTATTCTTTTCTTGTTACATTGAATTCCTTTAGAAAAAAATATAATTTGTTTACACTGGATATTCTTCCAGGATGTTATTTAAATAATTCTTGAAAAACTGATTTTGACGCTCAAAAGTGTATTATGTTCATAATAACTATAAAAAAAAGTCACTCAACTACCATGACATTTTGTCCATGGCATCCTTAGACGAGGAGGTTTGGAGCGACCCTCATTGAAAGTCAGGGTGATCATTCTGACGATATTTCTGTTCTCATTGTAACACCACAATATAAACAACATAAACACATTGGAAAGCAGTGCAATGCATCAAACCACAATGAGGTATTTCTGACCACTGCATCTATAGTGAGAGAGTGTGTTTATTACGGTAAAGGGGCCACCGGCCCATTATACATGAAACTTGACATAATAAGCGCTGAAGCGCCATATAATATGATTACAGTTTCTGTTTATGCAAATATTAAATGATGGACATCCATATTATGCAAAATATTTACTACGTTTCTTTAAAGATAAAAAGATAAATTTAGCCAAATTATTTATGACCGTGATTTTCCGTGATGTGAATAATAAAATAAGCTTATTGTTATATAGGAATTTATAATAAAATTCTAGAATAAGACTTTCTCTTAAGTCCTGATAAAATGGATATTCAAGACAAAAATGTAGTTCTGATTCAATATTAGGTATTACACAATAGTTGTTTGTTTGTTTGTAGTTTGGCGATCAGTTTGCACTCTTCTCTCATTGTTACGGTTTTAAGAGAGTGCGGCGTGTGTCTTTCTTCAGTAACTTTGAAACATGGAACGAAAACTTACGTTACTTAATGTTTATGTAGTACCTCAATAAAGCCATGTAAAGGTAGAACGTCAAACAAATAGGTCATTAACAATTTAAGCCAGAGGTTAGCTATAGCTGACCCGGGGCGGTCGGGTAGCTTAGTGGTTAAAGCGTTCACTCGTCACGCCGAAGACCCGGGTTCGATTCCCGACATGGGTATAATGTGTGAAGCCCATTTCTGGTGTCCCTGGTCGTGATATTGCCCGAATATTGCTAATAGCGGCGTACAAAACATACTCACTTACTCGATAATTCGATAGTAGGTCATACTTTCTTCTGCGTAAATTATAACATCACATACGTAGATGAAAGTATCGTATACGTAGATGTTAGTAATATCAACTACGTAGATGAAAGTAACATCAACATAGAAAATACTTTTCGACTGCGGCATTAATACGCTTCAATAATGACTCTTTACCTCTTTGTTATAACACATGCCGTGTTGCTATGATACATCACCTAGGCAAAACGGCGGTTTGAAACATGTTTGCACAAACGTGTTGATGATGCATTCACGACTTTAAGTTTAACAGTTTGGTTCTACAATGACGCATGGTAAGAAAGGGTTAAAACACGCGTACACAGTTGGACGGCTCAGTGGTCACGCACTCTGAAGAACCAGCACCGTCTCTCCAGCAGCAGCCTCAGTCTAAACATGGACGTATACCAGGGTTTTACAGTGATGGACCTGTACTGTGGTACAGCTGAGTGTGAACAAAATCCTTTTGCAGAAAAAACAGTTAAAAGAAGGTCTAAGCCTAAGGCGAAGACCACCAAACACAGACGACGAAAATCTAGTACAATGCTTGATAAAGAAAAGAATCACATCGCCTCTAAGGTCAATTCAAGACCTTCCATTGCAAGACAGGTACAGTCTTGAAACTGTATTGACAACAATGTGCAACCCCCTTGGCACCGAAGGGTTACTCTTTGTAAACCATCCGTCAGAAGAATAGCTCCTGGCTGTATACAAGATGTCCATCACCATGGAGGTCATGGACTCATGGTGTAGGGTGGAACCTGTGACGACCAGAAGACACTGCTCGTTGTTATCCCTGGCAATCACAATGCATAACGAACGGTACGTTGACCAAGACCGGAGACGAGTAGCTAATGAAACCCACTAAATGCCCAGTTTATCGATGGTGAATGGAGTGTACTTTTTCTTCACTCTATTTGTGCAAGTAGGGGGAACCTGCTGCAGCAGGACAACGCCCGATCACGCACCGCCCCGATCACGCAGAACTCTCTGAACAACGTCAACGTGCCCGTACTGCCTTGGCGCTCACGTTCGAGCACTTGTGGGATCATCTGGGTAGAGAGCTGAGGAGACGACCCAACCATCCAAACAACTAACAGGACCTGCAGGATGCTTGGCAACACATTCCGGCAATCGTCATCAGACGTTTGACGTCATCCAAGAGACGGCGCATTGAGGCGTGCATCCTTGCTAGGGGAGGTCATACGCGGCATTGATGACGTCGCCCCAATGCCACGTTAGTGTCCGCTGGGGTCACGGGTAGCCCAGTCGTCTAAGGCGCCGCGATTCGCTGTGCAGAGTTGCGTCCCTTGGGCACGCCGGAAACCTATGATTGTGGGTTCGAATCCCGGTTCGCCCCAATTATGTTTCTAGGTTTGTCAGCACCATACCCGTGCTCGTGGGTTTCACCGAAGTGGTAAACGTCTTTGACCTCCATCACTTCGGGCTTTCCTCCCACATTAAGCTGACACGCCGTGATATAACTGGAATATTGTTAAAAGCGGCGTTAAACCCAACTCACTCACTCACTCACTCACTTAGTGTCCGCTGATGTTTCTATCCACTTATTGGCCACAGCCTATGTGACTTACTTTGTGAGAACTGACTTCACAGATCGCCATTGGTGTTCAGCTGACTATGTGTTTGATAGTTTGCATGATTGACAACAAGTGAATTCAATACACAGAATCAATTGCATCAACATTTTAAGTTAACTCCATGTCAACTTTCTTCTGATCTTCAGTTTATTGTATGTGTATTGCAAAGACATTGTTATGCCAGATTGTGACTGGTCGCATTGTGCCATTTTAGTTGACAACCGGGGCGGTCGGGTAGCCAAGTGGTTAAAGCGTTCGCTCGTCGCGCCGAAGACCCGGGTTCGATTCCCGACATGGGTACAGAGTGTGAAGCCCATTTCTTTTGTCCCCCGCCGTGATATTGCTGGAATATTGCTAAAAGCGGCGTAAAACCATACTCAATCAGTCAGTTGACACCTATTTTGCCCTTTAGTTGACACCCAACTTTATACTGCCACCTGATTGGTGGAGGTGTTCTCAGTGAAGATACGGCGGCGGGATAGCTTGTGGTTAAAACATTGTTTCATATGTTGCACAGACATTGTTCAGTCAGTTTCATTTCTGGTTGTAATTTGTTGCATTTTTCAAGTTGTTATTTTCGATTTTACACATATTTGAGTAAATATTTGCATATATTGATGCTTAAAGATTCAAGACCTTTTGCTCATGTTTACAGCAACTAAATGGCTGGCGCAAATGGCAAAAAGTAGTATGTATTTTTGAATAAAATAATTGTTTTCATATTCCTATTAACGTCTGAATGTAATTATTTATTCTAATTTGTGACCCTGTGTGTTGTTTCAGAGATGATTGGGGTGCGAAGGGGTTCTCATAAACGTGGTTCCCAGTGGCCACGTCTTTGACGTTTAATCATATTGATGGGGGGCGGTCGGGTAGCCTAGTGGTTTAAGCGTTCGCACGTCACGCCGAAAACCCGGGCTCGATTCCCGACATGGGTACAGTGTGTGAAGCCCATTTCTGGTGTCTCCCGTCGTGATATTGCTCACTCACTCACTCATATTGATGGGTATTCTATGATAGCATTTCTGATTCCTTCGCGGGGATTCAAGGGCAGAATAGGTCCTCAGCACGATATGCTTGTCCAACAGTGTTTGAAATAGACGTCGGGCCGTAGGTCCGAGACCGACAGATTTGTTCTCGGGCCGATAGTTTTAAATTTCAGCAGGAAATACGGAAATGAATCTTAACACTCAGGTTGCTTGGTTTTGTTTGTTTTGTTTGTTGTTTAACGCCGCACTCCCCAATATTCCAGCTATATGACACCGGTCTGTAAATAATCGAGTTTGGACCAGACAATCCAGTGATTAATATAATGATCATCGATCCACGCATTTTTGGATCGATGACACGTATCAACCAAGTCAGCGAGCCTGACCACCCGATTCCGTTAGTCGCCTTTTACGACAAGCATAGTGACCTTTTACGGCAAGCATGGGTCGCTGAAGACCTATTCTACCCCGGAATCTTCACGGGTCCTATTGCTTGGTGAAACAGGGTCCAGCTTCAGAGTACTCCACTTGTTAACTCTTTCAATGTCGCAGGCAGGTGTAACGGCAACACCGTAAGCATGTCCAAATAATATTCAATTTCATGAAGCTACCATTTATTAATTCTATCACTTTTCACAAGGTCAGAAAATACGGATTTCATTTCAATTTATCATATTTTATCAATGGATAATTTAGTTTAATTATTAACTATTTCCAGCAATGCTACTGAAAAACAAATTATCTGTAACACGACAACGGGTCCATATCGAACATACCAAAGAGCAATATAAAGACGTTCCAAGCAAATCGTAAATACATTCAATAAAGTGATTAAAAAAAATCTACAAACATATTTCCAATAATTGTCAAACATATAAAAGTATCTATTTCCATCGTTTCATGCGATTGTGTAATGTTAATCAAATGACATCTCGACAGTTGTTGCCATTGTTAGGTTTAATGCCAAAATATATGCGTGCGAAATCTTTGTCACAGGTCGTAACCTAGCACGATGTGTACTTATTTTAAGCATAGCTCGCGATTTCCTGGTTCAAAAGTTCAAAATTACACAATTTAAGCAAAGACTTTTCGGTTCGAAAACGGAGGTATTTCCCGGTATTTTTTCATTGTTTCATGTCACTGAGCGGAAAGCCACTATTATTGGAAATATATGAAGATAGATCGTACTTTAAATTCTTTTTATCATCATTTTCCGATTACTTTAACAATGAAAATGAAAAAGAAATGTTAGTGGATAACTCTATTATGAAATCTTAAACTCGCCATAATTTTCGCTTCCTTGGTGCTTTATATTGACGCAATGAATGTGTTAGCTTAATTTGTTATATAAAACGAAGTTATATAAAACGAACTTAATGAAGTTATAAACGCATTATTTAAATAATGTGATCAACACAACTTACATATTTACAAAGTAACAGTAAGACGTTTCAAATTGTGTATGACAGGTAGTAGCAATGAAGTTTCACAAGCTGATTATGTCCTTGATAAATATAGACATCATCTCTCGCTACAGTGTCTCTTGGAAGTCTGCGTGATGGCAGTAAAAGCTTGGGCCCTTAAGGCTCTCAGTTTACTCTGCTGAGTTTCAGACACAGCTTACAAGGTGATTTACTGGATCAGATCGTCATGTTAGCGACTCTGTTGACTGCATGTCATTGAGCGCCGACAGCTTATATTATCCCACAATAATTCTGGCAATACGCTTCGTGACTATGATGTTAAAATCTCAATCGGGAAGAGAGCTAAGTGAAAACATCTGATGGGATACAACGTAGCGTTTCTCATCAATTCACGCCAATATGGTAAGAGTGATTCAGGAAAAAGCAGTAGGAAGGATAGTTACGTTTGCATTAAAAATAGTAAAAAGTGAAACTCATCTTCCACAGTGTAACAGATACATAATTCACACACTCGCCGTTCTTTTGGTTGCCGAATACATGTTCCTGTTTTTATTTTGTTTTATTGTGAAATTCATCCAAAAGGAGCAAGGGCTACTCTATATTTTGAAACTTTAAGGTACAATTCCGAGCAAAAGTTTATAAAGTGGATAACTATTTGTTTTGGTGCCCCGAAGGAGCACATCGTGCCAGTCTTGCTTGTTTATTGCCTTTGAACGAAATACGAATTCTGAGATAAAAGCTGGTTTATTACGTTCATCGTTGCTCCCACAGAAAAAAAGAATATGTTTTACTTTGAAGACCAATTAATTTTACCCTTTTCTGCTGTTTGACATATCATGTCACAACAATTGTCACACTTTTGTTTCACGATTTACAATTAAATGACAGGCAATACAAAACTGTTCTAGTATATACATACTTATTTTTGTAAACTATTTACAGAGTCAAATATAAGTATAAAGTCGTCAGAGAGTAAGAGAAACACTTGGACGAAGTCAGGACACCAGGCATGATGTATACCATGCGAACAAGAGGATTCATCAGTATGATCTAATTCATTTAAAAACATGAAAAACAAAAATGGGTTCAAAACGCAACCTTGTCTAAGACCCAAAATGGACATTCAAAAACATCTGAAACAAGTTCACTATATCTTACACATGATTTCAGAGAGTCATAAATAGAATGCAAAGCATTTAACGCTATACTTTAGTATACACCACAATTTGGTTGTATTCGCAAAGTCGAAGGCTTTTGAAAAAATCAACAAAAACAAAGACTAAAATGTGCTGTAACCTTTGCAAAATCCAGCCTGTGATTCTTCAATTTTATCGTATGCATTGTGATCATAACACGAGAATGGATGTGTATTAAGTACACTTAACAGTCCTATTCATCTATCATTACTTTGATCTTGTCTGTCCAAACACTTTTCCTCATTTGTAGAGGCTGAGATTTATTTTCTTCTGAAAAGAGAGCTGAAATTATTTTACGGCACATTTCAAATTCAACTAATGGAGAGAATGAAAACAATACTGAAACATATCTGTACAGATGTAGGTGATTTAAAACAAAACAATGAAAATAGCAGTATAATAAAGCATTTATAAAATGATAAATAAAAGACCCATGTGTAGCCCTTTTGGCCATTTCCACTCCATCCCGATACAAAACACAAGTCGGCCTAAACTACACCCGGCAATAAAGAAATGAATTGGCATTACATACTAATATATGTACATGTAGATGATATCATATTTTCTAAAACGTTTTTGGAACATTTGAGTCACCTCAAGAAGTATTCCAAAAGATCAAAGAAGCAGGACTCACTCTAAAACCAAGCAAATATAAATTGGTTACAAAAAAAAAAGTTAGCTACTTCGGGCATATCTTCAGCTAAGATTCATCCATGTCGATCCTTCAAAAATAGATTCAGTCACACAGATCCCACCCTCTAATAATGTCCATGACGTGTGTCATTTCTTAGATTTGACTTCGTGTTTGTTGCAAACCTTCCTGGCATCGCCTCCCCTCTATACAACCTTCTGAAACAAATGCGTGTTTCGAATGGTCCAGCAATTGCAAACAAGCATTCGAGAAGCAAGTACAAGCCTTTACAACAGCCCCTATCCGTGCATATCCCGACCAAAACAAACCCTTTCTTTCTCTCAACTGATGCACCTCAAACTGCAATAAGGTACATATTAGGCCAACTTGATTCTCATGGCGTAACTTGGAATAATGTTGTTAGTTCATGTCTTTTGATCATACAAATATCTTCCTGTTTTGTGTTAGGAACAATGTTGATTGATACAGTTAACAACTGTTATGGCCTCTTAAAATGGAAGATTTGAAAAAAACTATATTAATAAATAAGGGTTACAGGCATACAGTCTCTCATGGTGATGTCTCTTTGTCATAGTTAGTTTGTTCGTTGTTTAACGCCGCACTCAGCAATATTCCAGCTAAATGACGGTGGTCTGTAAATAATCGAGTCTGGAGCAGACATTCCCGTGATTGACATCATGCGAATTGATCCAAGCAATTGATATGGTTGGTTTGTTGTTTATCGCCGCACTTAGCAATATTCCAGCTATATGATGACGGTCTGTAAATAATCGAGTCTGGACCAGACAATCCAGTGATTGACATCATACGCATCGATCCATGCAATTAGGATCGATGACATGCATCAACCAAGTCAGCGAGCCTGACCACCCGATTCCGTTAGTCGCCTTTTACGACAAGCATAGTCGCATTTAACGGCAAAAATTATATCCTTTTTAGACAGGCCAAAGGCACTATTCTAGCATTTCTGACAGTACTTTTAAATGTTGCTGTTATAGTTATACAACTGGAATGCTGTGTCTTTATACAACACACACATATCATATAGTTTAGCAGTGTCACTTTAACCTGAGAACTCTTAATGCCCTATCCAGGAACGCCATTCCGTATGACCAACTACCGGAAGCTGCCCAAAGAGCAGCCTCGACTGCCTTGGTCAACAATGTCCAGATTCGGTTAGAACCATCATAATGATTCCTGGCGAATTTTCTCGCTTCCTTTTCATGAAGCTTGCGACGCTTATCACGAAGCTCCTGTCGCTTCCTTGACAGTGATTCCTCTTTTGACTCGGAGCTATCTGCAAGCGTCTGCTTGTATTCCGCCACACCATTAGCGATATACTCCGCATCAGATCTTTGATTATTGTGCAACAGTTTGTCCAACTCTTCTTTCTCAATTTTCTTCATTTGTAGCTCAGCTTCCTGATACATATCATTTATGAAGAACCGTCCATTCAGTGTATCTACCAGATCCAGTAAGCATCGGACAAACACTTCATTGTCGTCAGTCGATTTGTTGTTTACAGCAAGGTAGTTTTGATCGGTTTCACCGGTCTTATTAATGAAAGCCCTCAGTTGGAGGTTTGTGTCAATGAAAGATTTCAGACTCTGTTCAAGATCCTCTTTCCTTGTGAATATGACGATGACGTGACGTTGTGACTCAGAGCCAAAAAAACTCAGAAATTTCTTCACGGAATTACTCTCTTCTTCGGTAAACCTCCCTATACCAATCACAAACAGAATTGCGTGCACACCAGGAGAGGATAAAGCGATACATTTCCTCAGCTCTTCCTTGATATCTTTCTGACTACCTCCAGTAGGAAAGAAACCGGGACAATCAACCAGTAAAATGTCCCTGCCGAATCTCTCAAACATGATGTGTTCACATGATTTTGTTACAGAAGAGGCTGAACACTCGACTTTGAAAGTTGTCTTCCCAATGATTGTATTCCCAGTAAAACTTTTACCAGCTCCAGTCTTTCCGATGAGAATCAGTCTAATTTCTTCAGACACAAAGGTTCCTCTTTCGGAATCTGAAACACCAGATTACATGTCACAACGAGATTAGGATTAACTTTCTGTCATCTGTTCAGAGCACGGATTTGGTTTGGTTGGTTGGTTGGTTTGTTGTTTAACGCCGCACTCAGCAATATTCCAGCTATATGACGGCAGTTTTGTAAATAATCGACTCTGGACCAGACATTCCAGTGATTAATATCATGAGCATCGATCCACGCAATTCGGATGACATGCATCAACCGAGTCAGCGAGCCTGACCACCCGATCCCGTAAACGCCTTTTACGACAAGCAAAGTCGCCTTTTACGGCAAGCATGGGTTGCTGAAGACCTATTTTACCACGGAATCTTCACGGGCCTGGAAATTCTGGCAGAATCATTTAAACCCATACAGTGCGTAGGAGCGGCCTGCTAAGCTTTATTGCCCACCACAATATTCTGCTCTGAAATGGATAATGTACAGTGTACATGCTTTAAGCTTCATCTCCAGAAGGGGCAGTGGGATGGCCTTGCTCTTGCTGAAGGTCTGGGATCAATGCCCCATGGGCATGAGTACATTGTGTAAATTCCATTGCTGGTGTCTACCGCCATGCTTTTGCTAGGAGGCTTTTGCTAGGATGTAGCTGAAAGTCGTACTCAATCATCCCAAGTTTATAACTTTCCATTTATTAAATCTGTTCAGAGGAGTCTTGCTCAAGTAATCGGGATAAGTCGCATATGCCCACAACAAATTTATCAAATTCGAAATAACGAGAATAATCCATCTATGATATATAAGTGTGTATATCACTTGATTGTCTGGTTTGTTCACAGGCTGAAGGAGTACTCCTGTGCTGCGTCAGGCAATTTATAAATTGTATGAATGGCGGGTGCTACCGGTAGGGCAGGACATGCTTACCCATTTCGCGAACACCTGGTGTCATCACTGATTTTCAGTGGTCCATTCATATAAATTTCAATAGCTATGTTGCCCTTGACACCAAGTGGTATCTGTTTTGGCAGAAATCTAGGCTGGTTATTATCTTGAACTTGAATATATAATTAGTTCGTTCATATAGTTTGCTTGTTTGTTGTTTAACGCAATAGTCCAGCTATATGACGGCGGTCTGTAAATAATCGACCAGACAATCCAGTGATTAATTTCATGAGCATCGATCCACGCATTTGGGATCGATGACACGTATCAACCAAGTCAGCGAGCCTGACCACCCGATTCCGTCGTTCATATAGCAAGAACCTTAGATATACAGAAAAAAGAGAGTAATGGCCTGGTATTCTTATGATGGAGCCCTTTATTTTGTGACTGTAATTTTGTAGCAATGCTGTGAATAACAAATTTCACTCACTCAGTAATCATGGTACAAATCCTGTTCTGCTCTCATTGAATCAGAGGCATTAAAACGTTAGTTCATGAAGGACTCCACCGCGAGACTTTTTCTGAATTTATTAAATTTATTAGCCATGAGTGTCTTGTTTTCCGTTCAAAGTAACACAAAATATCGTTGTCAACAGCATTTTGTCTACAAATGCATCCCCAACAGCCCTATGTGACGCAGGTCATTGACATTTTCATTTTGTAGAAAGCGTTAAGCACTGGAATGGTTTAACAAACCAATGCTCCCATTCGAGATGGGTCTGGCATGTGAACCTTCGCCCATCAGGCAACGTACAGCCAGTCTAAGGGAAGTAACTCTTCTTGACCACACTCAGGTAAGGACTCTGTGGTTGAGATAAAAAAAAGGCACGAAAACATTTACCTGCTGCAACAGCCATTTTCGTCTCTGCAGTTGAACCTGGAGAAATAGAATTGAAAATAAAAGCGTGATTGGAACAATACAGAGAGCCCAGATCATTTTAGAACGATTCCTGTCTGAAGAAGCTAGCGACTCTGTGTCTTCGAAATGCCTACCATCAGCCATGTCTAAAGCAAGCAAGATACAGAGCCACTACTAGAGGCAAATGACAGGAGGCGCTGTTTCAACCCAGTCCAATGTCTGACATAAAACAAAAGAACAGTGTGTTTCAGTATGGCGTCAATATAAGCTTTGGGGACAATTGTAGCAAAGCAGAAGTATACTAATTAATTCTAGAGTGGTTTGTCCATAGGTTCAAATCCCTCTAGAGTACTTCCAGCCTCGGCTACGCCTGCAGGGAGGTGTAGGGGCCTCAAAGAAGCAAAATCACGCGCGGAGTATGACGACAGAAAGCTTTTCTCATTCTTTTCTGGGGGACACGGGTGGCCCAGTCGTCTAAGGCGCCGCGATTCGCTGTGCAGAGTTGCGTCCCCTGGACACGTCAGAAACTAGGGGTGTCACGATGAATCGAAATATCGATATATTGCTATTGGGAAGCACTTAAAGTTAATAAATCAATTGCGATCAATTGTGTCGATTTCAGTTAGGAATATAGATAGTTTCGATTGTATTAAATACATCAATTAATAACATGCAATGCTGTACAAACTTGTTTTTCTTTTAATCATGTGCGGTAGTAATTTACAAAAAAAAAAATCTTTTTCTTAAATTATTAGAGTAAAGAAAACACAAATCAGTCATATCTCAAACTTTACTTTTTATTTGTTGTTATGGTTATCACATTGATAGGAAAGTTCAGTTCCAAGATTTAATTCAACTCTAAAATCCATCTAAAATAATACACTGAAAACTATCGATATTTATCGCAATAGTTACTTGCAATATCAATAGTTATCGCAAAAGTTTCTTTCAATATCAATAGTTATCGCAATAGTGATATCCAGACCAATAGTCACCCCTGCCAGAAACCTATGATTGTGGGTTCGAATCCCGGTTCACCCCGATTATGTTTCTAGGTTTGTCAGCACCATACCCGTGCTCGTCGGTTTCACCGAAGTGGTAAACGTCTGAGACCTGCATCACTTCGGGCTTTCCTCCCACATTAAGCTGACGCACCGTGATGTATAACTGGAATAATGTTAAAAGCGGCTTTAAACCCAACTCACTCACATTATTTATTAATCACTGGATTGTCTGGTCCAAACTCGATTATTTACAAAATTCGCCGTCATATAGCTGGAATTTTGCTTATTGCTGAGTGTGGCGTTAAATAATTAACCAACCAACCATCATGTAATGCCCCAACAAAAGATTTTACTATCACGCAAATCCTTATCTCTCAGGCTCAGAATTTATACTTCCGGGTTCGATCTGTGTGCGCGTGTGGATATAACCAATAAGACCACGCCGTTATCGCACATGTATTTTAATGGGTAGCCATCGATGTTATAACTGTGCTGCCTATACAACAATAGACGTAATCAGATCACACCGTGATATTCATTGAAGCGCCTCTATACTGACCATGATCGAGTCCATCAAACGAACAAGTGTAATATACAACGTATCCGTGATAGATGTTATGGTGTTATATTTCGGCCAAATAGTCACCAGACATGTCAAGTATTGATATCAGTATTTGAAAATAAGCGATAAAAATAACAATGCGGGCCAAACGCTGCAGATTATGGTTACCATGGTGACACAAAAATCAACGAGCAATGGGAGATATATTCTAATGTTACACTACAAATGGGGCACGACCGTGGCTAGATTGTGGAGCTATGTATTGTCACCGGGCATAAAACCGGCCCAGTCACGGTCTGGTGACCGCACAGCTTCCCTCGCTTATAATTTTCCGGCTTCCGTCACCATTCGGCAAAGCCCGGCGGTCTTCGTGGTCCTTTACTCATTTATTTGAGAATTAGTAACTCGCATATGTTTTCTCTCTGGTGACTTAATGGCACACTTTTATCATGTATTTATTCCATGTAGGTTTTCTCATATATGTTTGCTAACTTTAATTTTCACGCTGTAGCGGGATTATCTAGTATTAGTCTATATTTCTCATGTATTTATGGTCATTTTTGCCACCTCATCAGTAATTGTACATATAGAGAATCTCACCCGAGTGTCTTTTGATATCAAATATATCAACACGAGTTGATAACAGTGGCAAAATTCCGAGGCTTGCCGAGGATTTTTGCCACTTTTATCAACGAGTGTTGATATATTTGATATCAAAAGACATGAGGGTGAGATTTTATTGATCATCCAACATCATTCTTCCAACTTTTTCAATTTGTAGACAGTAATTAGCAGTGTCTTCAGTGTAAAAAGTACTGCAAACTGCTTCAGTAGTAGAGCCATTAGTGATGCCATTTGATTGTGACGTAACCAGTGACGTCACAATTGTCTGCAAAGCTTTGTGATGTAATTTCATTGCAGCGATATCTACTGGGTAGATATCGCTTGATCTCATCCAAGCGATATCTCCTGTGGGGGCCAGTTTTGGATGATAAATCTGGTTGTAAATGTTTGGTGATACCGTTGGATAGCTTATGTTCAGCTGTATTTTGGTACTTATATCTTCCGTATTGGTTTTGTGGTTAGTCTGTGATTTGGGTTTTCCCTATGTTTATTTGGATTTTCTCTACGTTTATTGGGGGTTTCCCTATGTTTATTGGGGGTTTCCCTATGTTTATTGGGGTTTTCCCTATGTTATTTTGGGTTTTCCCTATATTTATTGTGGTTTTCCCTATGTTTATTGGGGTTTTCCCTGTATTTATTGGGGTTTCCCTATGTTTATTGGGGGTTTCCTTATGTTTATTGGGGTTTCCCTGTTTATTTGGATTTTCCCTATGTTTATTGAGGTTTTCCCTATGTTTATTGGGTTTTCCCCTATGTTAAGAAACACACTTCGTTACTCTTTCCACGCTACTGTTTTCCCTTGGCTGACCAGGAAAGGTTGCCCTCGCATACACGTTGTGTTCAAGTCATTCACTCCAAGTGGATCAGGTCACCAACGTGATCTGTGTACTCAACGTCGCCTATGACGTTGTTGACGAGACTACGGTAATCCGGTGTTTTTATAGCAATTACTCATTTTTCGCTTTCGTAGGACAAATACCCCAACCTGGGTTTTCGCTTTACTGATACTAGAGAAAATTGGATTTTCGCTAACCCGGCACGACACCTCGCCGACATCCGCGCACACGTATAAAACCCTTGTCAAATTAATGTGTCTTTACATCTCTGCGTCATAAGGCCTCTTTTAATGTCAAAAGTCTTAGACTTTAGTCGCACCCGACTTAATTGGCTGTCTATGCATCTTGTCAATATCTTGTCAAAGTGTTGTTTTAGCTACCCTCTCTTTGTCACTGTTATACAGTTGCTTAGCTAATCCACTTGTGTATTGGCTCTGATTCAATTAATCAGTGATAGTAGTATAAAGTGAGGGCGCAGACGCTGGTTTTGGTTGAGGGAGGTTGAGTGAAAATAGGGAAGGTGATTGGCTGATCCAAGTCACGTGATCGGATAGGATGACTCATGCATCAACAGCGCGTCGGGAAAGGGCGGGGAATGAAAGGTGTGTGTTTATAAGACAGAAAAGAATTCGTAAGTAAACAACAGTAAAGGGTATTCAATAGAGCTATGCGTATGGCGTGCTGCCCTGAATAGACAAGCAGCCCAGTTTGAATTGAGCGCGCTTGACAACTCACGTGACCACGTCGTTTCAAATTGTTTATTGGTCGTAATGGTTTCGTTAATTTCAGGCGTTAGTAGAAATTACAATTAGTGTACAACTCACGTAGTCGTTTCAAATTGACCGCGCTCGCGAGAGCGTGCGATCTGGTTTGATGAATGCAGGGTGTGTGTTGAAAGTACGACCATACCGCAATAGAGACGGGTTATGTCAACACGATATACGCCGGGTAATGTAGGTAGGGAAAAAAAATGTACGTCTAGCTGGATCAAATTCATCTTGTACTTTCTACACGTTGTACACCATGAACGTTAGACAACCTGTATAGAAAAAAATATAGACAAAATAGATAAGACTTCACAATCAGCAAGCTAGCAGTGTCGTTTAATTACATTTAGCGCGCAAGAACGAGGTAGTCACGTCACCCTGCATTGACTATAACGCTGAAGGCAGCCGGATTTCGAATCACCCGGCGCTGCGTACTATTGTGAACCATTTGTAAAGAATTATTCAGCCCTGTCCCGACTTGCATAGTTGATGTTTCAATGCTAGCTTTTCCATTAAACGCGATGACAAATAAGCCCTACGGTTTGAGTTTTAACCGTGTAACATGATGTGCACAGTTTTACTTCAGAACGTGCTATTTTGAAAATAGATAGAAAACTGATAAGTACATGTACCAGTGTGACGGCACGAAGCTAGGTTTGTTGGGAAAGTGATGGAAGCAATCTATAGGACATTTTCATGTTTACAATACTCACCCTTAATTCGAAGAGAGAACAGAGTTTATCATGGAAAATTGTTTGACGAGGAAAATGTTTTATTGGAATATATGTCGAAGTAGGTTTATTCATAGCTAATGTATAGCAGAGAGACTAAGCGACCGACCGCCCATAACAATGTCAACATACCCCGGCCTTAGAATTAATGTCAACATACCAGCCTCGCCTGAAGCTTCCCATTCATAAATTGTGTGAGCAGTGTCCCGTATTCATGATATGTCAGGGAAGATGTGTTGTACATTTGTTATTTTTAAAGGGAGTTATTTCAGAGAGGCGGGACTGACAAACCGATCCCCGTCAGTCGCCGATAAGCATGGGTTACTGGGCCTGCTGCCTGTGGAAGCCAAAGGTGAAGACCATCAAGGATTATTTACCAGTGTGTATTGTAAAACCAAATTAAAATACACATACTGATCGCTTTTTTAACATACTCACAAGTGTGCTGTGGAGAAAAGAGTGTCTTCCAAGATTCCCTGCACGTGTAAGACAGTATAAACTCTACAGTAGTGTAGCCCGAAAAACAGTTTTACTCTCGCCAGCAAACGTATTGGACGTGAACAACATGAAGAAAGAATCAGAGATTAGACTTGACCCTAGAGATATATTTAGGAAGACTACGTTGAGAAAATCACAACAGAGAAAGAAACCACAAGCAGCCAAGAAGTCGACGCTGAAGACAAAGAAGAGACAGGTAACACCTAAAATGAAAACGATGACAACCAAACAGGTATCGAAGACAACACCCCAACCCGTGAAAATACAACATGTGTCGGAGGTGAAGGCTGTGGTGGAACGGGCACTTGCTGCCTTGAAGCGTCAACAGAGTCAAGGGTATAAAAGAAAGCTTCATACCCTCTAATCGCACACCGTATTGGATCACCATGGGGGTTGCCACCTGTCCGGACTGTGAAAAAATGTTTTCAAGGAGAGATGTCATGTTACGACACAGGAGAAACAAACATAGCATACCGCCGCCGTTACAAGCCCACCCGCCGCTGCAAGTCCACCCACCATTACAAGCCCACCCGCTAACGCCGCCGACGCAAGTCCAACCGCTGCCGCCGCTGCGTCGAGCCAACCCGCCGTTACAAGCACATGCGCCGCTGCCATCGCAAATCCACTCGTGGCTGCCTCATTTACCATGTATATCTGATCTTCGAGAACAATTCAAGTTCCTGATTCCCTCAAATGCGCTCGTTGTGGGACCCAGTGGTTGTGGAAAGTCTGTGTTTACCTCTCATGTTCTCCGGCATGGCCTGATCCAGCCCCAACCTACCCGCATCGTTTGGTGTTATACTCAATGGCAGCCATTATATAAGGACCTCACTGAGCAACTGCCTCAGCTGACCTTTGTAAAAGGAATTCCCTGCGATATCTTGGACGAGGATTACTTTGATGCTTGTCAACAGAACGTGTTGGTCCTGGATGAATCCCTGGACGAAGCAAAGCACGACAAGCGTATTTCGCGGCTGTTTACTCAAACCTCACATCACAAGAATGTATTGATCTTTCTCTTGATACAAAATCTGTTTCCGAGAGGTAAGGAATCGAGAGACATTGCTTTGAACGCGCATTATGTCACCCTGTTTCATTCCCCCATAGATAAACAGCAAATCAAACGCTTCGCTCGTAGAGTTTTCCCCGAACATATGGATCACTTTATGCCTATGTATGAAAAGGTTACTGAAACACCCTATGGACAACTCACCATCGATCTAAAACCTACCACCAAAGATCAGGTTCAGACTGTGCTGTTGTTCTCCTGTTTTCCTCATTTATGAGGTTAACATGCAGTCGATCCTTATCTTTGGTGGTAGGTTTTAGATCGATGGTGAGTTGTCCATAGGGTGTTTCAGTAACCTTTTCATATATAGCCATAAAGTGATCCATATGTTCGGGGAAAATTCTACAAGCCAAGCGTTTGATTTGCTGTTTATCTATGGGGGAATGAAACAGGGTGACATAATGCGCGTTCAAAGCAATGTCTCTCGATTCCTTACCTCTCGGAAACAGATTTTGTATCAAGAGAAAGATCAATACATTCTTGTGATGTGAGGTTTGAGTAAACAGCCGCAAAATACGCTTGTCGTGCTTTGCTTCGGCCAGGAAATCATCCAGGACCAACACGTTCTGTTGACGAGCATCAAAGTAATCCTCGTCCAAGATTACAAAGGTCAGCTGAGGCAGTTGCTCAGTGAGGTCCTTATATAATGGCTGCCATTGAGTATAACACCAAACGATGCGGGTAGGTTGGGGCTGGATCAGGCCATGCCGGAGAACATGAGAGGTAAACACAGACTTTCCACAACCACTGGGTCCCACAACGAGCGCATTTGAGGGAATCAGGAACTTGAATTGTTCTCGAAGATCAGATATACATGGTAAATGAGGCAGCCACGAGTGGATTTGCGATGGCGGCGGCGCATGTGCTTGTAACAGCGGGTTGGCTCGACGCAGCAGCGGCAGCGTTAGCGGGTGGGCTTGTAATGGCGGGTGGACTTGCAGCGGCGGGTTGGCTTGTAACGGCGGCGGTATGCTATGTTTGTTTCTCCTGTGTCGTAACATGACATCTCTCCTTGAAAACATTTTTTCACAGTCCGGACAGGTGGCAACCCCCATGGTGATCCAATACGGTGTGCGATTAGAGGGTATGAAGCTTTCTTTTATACCCTTGACTCTGTTGACGCTTCAAGGCAGCAAGTGCCTGTTCCACCACAGCCTTCACCTCCGACACATGTTGTATTTTCACGGGTTGGGGTGTTGTCTTCGATACCTGTTTGGTTGTCATCGTTTTCATTTTAGGTGTTACCTGTCTCTTCTTTGTCTTCAGCGTCGACTTCTTGGCTGCTTGTGGTTTCTTTCTCTGTTGTGATTTTCTCAACGTAGTCTTCCTAAATATATCTCTAGGGTCAAGTCTAATCTCTGATTCTTTCTTCATGTTGTTCACGTCCAATACGTTTGCTGGCGAGAGTAAAACTGTTTTTCGGGCTACACTACTGTAGAGTTTATACTGTCTTACACGTGCAGGGAATCTTGGAAGACACTCTTTTCTCCACAGCACACTTGTGAGTATGTTAAAAAAGCGATCAGTATGTGTATTTTAATTTGGTTTTACAATACACACTGGTAAATAATCCTTGATGGTCTTCACCTTTGGCTTCCACAGGCAGCAGGCCCAGTAACCCATGCTTATCGGCGACTGACGGGGATCAGTTTGTCAGTCCCGCCTCTCTGAAATAACTCCCTTTAAAAATAACAAATGTACAACACATCTTCCCTGACATATCATGAATACGGGACACTGCTCACACAATTTATGAATGGGAAGCTTCAGGCGAGGCTGGTATGTTGACATTAATTCTAAGGCCGGGGTATGTTGACATTGTTATGGGCGGTCGGTCGCTTAGTCTCTCTGCTATACATTAGCTATGAATAAACCTACTTCGACATATATTCCAATAAAACATTTTCCTCGTCAAACAATTTTCCATGATAAACTCTGTTCTCTCTTCGAATTAAGGGTGAGTATTGTAAACATGAAAATGTCCTATAGATTGCTTCCATCACTTTCCCAACAAACCTAGCTTCGTGCCGTCACACTGGTACATGTACTTATCAGTTTTCTATCTATTTTCAAAATAGCACGTTCTGAAGTAAAACTGTGCACATCATGTTACACGGTTAAAACTCAAACCGTAGGGCTTATTTGTCATCGCGTTTAATGGAAAAGCTAGCATTGAAACATCAACTATGCAAGTCGGGACAGGGCTGAATAATTCTTTACAAATGGTTCACAATAGTACGCAGCGCCGGGTGATTCGAAATCCGGCTGCCTTCAGCGTTATAGTCAATGCAGGGTGACGTGACTACCTCGTTCTTGCGCGCTAAATGTAATTAAACGACACTGCTAGCTTGCTGATTGTGAAGTCTTATCTATTTTGTCTATATTTTTTTCTATACAGGTTGTCTAACGTTCATGGTGTACAACGTGTAGAAAGTACAAGATGAATTTGATCCAGCTAGACGTACATTTTTTTTCCCTACCTACATTACCCGGCGTATATCGTGTTGACATAACCCGTCTCTATTGCGGTATGGTCGTACTTTCAACACACACCCTGCATTCATCAAACCAGATCGCACGCTCTCGCGAGCGCGGTCAATTTGAAACGACTACGTGAGTTGTACACTAATTGTAATTTCTACTAACGCCTGAAATTAACGAAACCATTACGACCAATAAACAATTTGAAACGACGTGGTCACGTGAGTTGTCAAGCGCGCTCAATTCAAACTGGGCTGCTTGTCTATTCAGGGCAGCACGCCATACGCATAGCTCTATTGAATACCCTTTACTGTTGTTTACTTACGAATTCTTTTCTGTCTTATAAACACACACCTTTCATTCCCCGCCCTTTCCCGACGCGCTGTTGATGCATGAGTCATCCTATCCGATCACGTGACTTGGATCAGCCAATCACCTTCCCTATTTTCACTCAACCTCCCTCAACCAAAACCAGCGTCTGCGCCCTCACTATATACTACTAGTGATCATTGTCAGAATACATTAGGTGTGTGATCCTTTATATTTATATTGTCGCCTATTAGGTGTTATTAATAAACCTGGGAACCTGTTATCACGTTTTCATTATCACTTTATTCTTGTTTAATGCCATCCAGGGTCCCGTTTCACTAAGCGATCTTAGCACTAAGATGATCGTTACTCCCATTTTTTAATATAGGCTTATGACAGTCGTAGAGCTGCGATCGCTTTGTGGAACAGGGCCCTGGTCACTGGAGCACAGCTCCCTGATATTTCAACCTTATGTTAAAAAGTATTTAAGTGTTAATTTCCTAATGACTCACGAATCACTATTTTGCAATACACATTTAGCTGAAATTAAACACCATACATACCTTAGACTGTCTTTTATCGTCACAAGTTCTCCTGTGTGTACCTGTACACCTCGATGTAGTCCTACAGTAGTGTCCTCGCACACCTTATTTTCGAACAAGAAATAAGTCCTTGACAAAAGGCCTGACCGTCACTCCCTCGTCTGTATATTTGGCTGCTCTCGAGTGACGTCACCTCTATTTGACACCCGAATGAAAGATGATATCGAGCAGGACTCCAGAGGTAATGCTACAAAAGTAGGTTGAGCTGTAGGTGGACGGAAATGGGACTATTGCATTACAAATCTGTGAGGAGAGGCACTGGACCTTGTCAATGAGTCATGTTTTCCTCGGGAATAGCTACTTCTGTGTATAGGCGTAATACACCGGCGCCATGTCAATCTCATTAAAATCAGATCTAAGTTCCCGCTGTCGCAAAGCTTTGTTTAGCGATACCGAGGGCGAGAACTAAGATCTGATTTTAATGAGATTGACACCAGGGGATCGTTTTCTGTCAACACCGTCCTCCTTTCCAGATCTACCATCATGACTTAAGATTCTCCCATCGTATTCAAACCTATGGACAAACTATGGAACAGGTTTATTTTCAGTGCAAAAGTACACTTCAGTATCAAAAGCAAATCCCCCAGATACAATGTACATGTATTTTAACAAGTGGTTTCAATTTGTAAAGACATCTTAATGTCCTAACCGAGGAGGAGGTTTTTAGACCCGTGAAGATGCGGGCAGACTAGATCTTCAGCAACCCATGCTTACCGTAAAAGGCGACTATGTTTGTCGTAAGAGGCGAGTAACGGGATCGGGTGGTCAGGCTCGCTGACATGGATGATGCATGTCATCGCATCTCAATTGCGTAGAAATGTGTTCATGATGTCAATCACTAGATTGTCGAGTCTGGCGATGCATCGAAATGACTGTATTTGCTCTAGTTTTAAAAAAATCAACGTTAGCTGTTCAATATTTATTGGTTTTCGATTATTTTAGGAACAACACGAACAGTAATGTCGAGTCATAGAAGACAAAGGCTTCCTAACAAGAACTGTGTTTAAAATTAAAAAGTAAAATAATCAAAATATTTGGAGTTGTCATCCGTATTATTATAACTTTTTAACTCTGGACGCAATCCGAATATTCTTTGTGGCTCCCTGACTTGGTTGATGCATGTCATCGGATCCCAATTGCGTGGATCGATGCTCATGGTGTCAATCACTGGATTGTCTGGTAAAGACTCGATTATTTACAGATAATCGTCATATAGCTTGAATATTGCTGAGTGCGGCGTTAAACAACAAACAAACAAAATTAGGACTACACCAAGTCTATACATATTATCATCCATTTTGACAAAATATTTAGCGGCTTGCTTGACCGTTTTGGCGCTGGTCCGTTTTGGCGTTATTCGTACGAAGAGTTAACTCCCCTACAGGAAATACATCAAAATTATCTCCCTTTTCCCCTCCACATTTGTTTTGAGCTTAGTCATTTTCTCCGACGCTATAGGTAATTTGTTACAGTGATCATGACTACAAACTACAAGATTGTCGCGGAGGACCCCCAGTTTCAACAAGAACTTACAAGTGCTGGATCGAAACTAGTTGTAGCGGATTTCTTCGCTACGTGGTAAGCTGACTAGTGACTGTGAAACAAGACGAACTTATTCTGATTGAATCATGAATGAAAACATTCGTACGTTTCTCGCTAAAGGCTACGTTTCAGACATCCACTATGTGCGTGGTTACGCGGACAACCTATCATCGATTACTTCGGTTTATGGTCATCCGTTCCGGAATTCAACTGTTTGGTCAATAGTCTCATTAGGCCATGTTTATGCCCGTTGTGGTGGTCACATGTGACAATAATCACTGATCAATTATTGACTGATCATTTAAAGGCGATTATAAAGATGTGTCAAATAGATACTAAGGTAAATTCATAGATTCCTGTAGACTGACACTGTCATTCTAGACACAAATCGAGTCGATACCACGATAGTTTTGATTTGCATTTCTTCTTTTTGTTCACTAGGATTGGTGGTAGCAAGGATAGTCGTGAACGATTACACAGTCAAATTCTCTCACTTAACCTGTGAAGATTCCGGGGTCTTCAGCAACCCATGCTTGCAATAAAAGGCGACTAACAGGATCGGGTGGTCAGGCTTGCTGACTTGGTTGATGCATGTCATCGATCCCAAATGTGTGGATCGATGGTCATGATGTCAATCACTGGAGTGTCTGGTCCAGACTCGATTATTTACAGACGGCCGTCATATAGCTGGAATATTTCTGAGTGCAGCGTTAAACAATAAACCAACCAACCAAATCTGACTTATCTCAATGTATACTGAAACGCTGTGTTCAAGATTAAACGGGTCTAAATGCTCAGAAACAACGCTTGTATATTTATTCGTGCTAGGGAATTCCCAGGTGTTTCCCCAAGAATGTGGAAGTAGTCCGTCAGTGTTTTCATCATTTCAAGAAGACAGTCAAAATGTGTCGTTCTTACACTTATAAACATCACTTCGCAACCTCTCATACAATGGAAAAGCTGTACATTGTGTACACTTCACTGTTTTAAACTGCAAATTAATATTTGTATGTATAATCTATGGCTAATCTTGTCAACAATCGCTCTAACAATGCTAAAGTGATGGTGTAAATCCTGCTTGGTAACCATGCAGGTAGCAGATGTTCCGTAAGTCCAGGGGCGGTCGGGTAGCCTAGTGGTTAAAGCGTTCGCTCGTCACGCCGAAGACCCGGGTTCGATTCCCGACATGGGTACAATGTGTGAAGCCCATTTCTGGTGTCCCCCGCCGTGATATTGCTGGAATATTGCTAAAAGCGGCGTAAAACCATATTCACTCACTCACTCCGTAAGTCCAACTTAAATGTGGATACACAGCCCATTTTTATATTGTGTTGTCTGTATATGCTGTAATAGTGTTTTTTTATGTTCTAATTTCTAAAACTAGTTTTAAAGTGAAAACTGTGATATATTCATGATGTTACTAGTTGTTGTACTGTCCATTGATAACAGTATTTATATAATATAAATGCATAACTTGTTCAAGTCACGATGTGACATATTGCAGATATTGGCTTTAAGTATCAACTGACTAACCCAATGCGATGTTGAACCCAACTATTAGGGGTGTCACGATAAATCGAAATATCAATATATTTATATTGCCATTGGTAAGCACTTAAAGTCAATAAATCGATTGTTAAATCAGTTTCTGATCAATAGTGTCGATTTGGTATGGTAATGGTAATGTGGAAGTTTCTTTTTCTTAAAAAATAAAGATAAAGAAAAAACAAATCGGTCATATCTCAAACTTTACTTTTTATCCCCCGCCCAACGGGGATATAGAAACGGGCTCCGTCCGTCACGTTTCATTTCCGGAGCATAACTAATAAACCGTTCAATATTTTTTCATCAAACTTTGCAGGTCTGTCAGGTACATGCTGAACTGGTGCCTTTTGCTATTGCAAAATTTAAAAAAAAATTTTTTTACGTTTCCATGGCAACAAGATGGACTTAGGTTCTGTGAGGGTAGGGTACGTTTCCGGAGCATAACTCATAAACCGTTCAATATTTTTTCATCAAACTTTGCAGGTCTGTCAGGTACATGCTAAACTGGTGCTTTTTGCTATTAAGAAATTTTAGAAATTTTTATTTTTTACGTTTCCATGGCAACAAGATAGACTTAGGTTCTGGAAGGGTAGGGTTCATTCCGGAGCATAACTCATAAACCATTAGCCACGTTAGTGGCAAACTCTTGTTATTTGTTGTTATGGTTATCACATTCAAAGGAAACTTCAGTTCCAAGGTTTAATTCAACTCTAAAATCCATCTAAAATGATACACTGAAAAGTATTGATATTTATCGCAACAGTTGCCTGCAATATCGATAGTTATCGCAATAGTTTCTTTCAATATCAATAGTTATCGTAATAGTGATTTCCAGACTAACAGTCACCCCTACCAACCATCTCCCCCCTGTTGCAGGTGTGGTCCGTGTCAGAGGATAGCGCCAGTGTTCCAGGAGCTGAGTTCCAACTATCCCAATGCAGTCTTCCTTAAAATTGACGTTGATCAGTGTCAGGTAAGTAGAAGCAAAATGTCAGTTGGGGACTTACCATTTGAATTTCGATGGGGGGTGGGAGATGGGGGGAGTGGAGCCTGATGTTGAAAAAATATTTATTACAGAATGTACTGTAAAAAGTGTTTTGATTATGAATTATTTGCTTGACATGCTCCAGTAAAAACAATTGGCCCTTCCAATGATCGAAAAAATATTCTTTTTCAATTCCCCAGAATGTTTAATGGTTGGTTCCTAAAGCTATCATATTATAATTTAATTAAAAATATTGGTATATTGCGTTTTTCAAAATCATCGTGCATAATATCTTGTTGGCAATGTTTACCATGAAGATCAGGGATAGAACAGGTCTTCAGCAACCCATGATTGCCATAAAAGGCGACTATGCTTGTCTTAAGAGGCGACTTATGGGATCGGGTCGTCAGGTGCAGTGACTTGGTTGATGCATGTCATCGTATCCCAATTGCGTTGATTGATGCTCATGGTGTGAAAGCGTAAGTGAAAATCCGAATAAAAAATATGATATCCAGAAATTTGCAACTGATTCCTTTGATTGAAGTGCACAGGATTGCCAGTATACCACAATATGAAATACTAATGAATAATTATCATAATGCATTTAAAATAATATCGGTATATCGCTTTTCTAAATCATTATGCATTATATCTTTTGGCAAAATTTACAAATCGTAAGTGAAAATTCGAATCAAAATTATGATATACAGAAATTGAAAAAGCGAAGCTATTTGTGACCAGCTTCCTATATATAATGTAATATGACGATTGCAAAGTTGTCAAAAGGTTGCGGGGAAAGGTTTTTTTATTCATAGCAAATCACAGATGAAAGAAGTTCTGAACGTATGCAGTATATTGTAGTACGTATCGCACTACATGAATCAGTATTGCAATAAATTGCAAAAAATAGGTCGGGCCAATACCAAATCAATCAATCATCCAACTAAACATCCAATGAATCCATTTATCACTTGTGTTGTCCAGGAAACGGCTCAGACACAAGGCGTGTCCGCCATGCCAACATTCATGTTCTACCGGAACAAGGTGAGGATCGACACCCAGAAGGGAGCTGACCCCAAGGCCCTGGAGGAGAAGATAAAGAAGTGGTATGGGGAGGAAGATGAAGGGGAGGAGGAGGTCATCGTCAAAGGACATGTCAGTTGAAACATTTTATATTCACTCAATAAGTGACAGTGGGGTGGCCAAGTGGTTAATGCGTTCTCTTGTCAACCTGAAGGCCAGGGTTTAATTCCCCACGTGGATACAATATGTGAAGATTGAGTCCCTTGTGGTATTGCTAGGATAAAGTGGCATAATACCATATTCACTCAAGGATGATACCCGTGAAGATCCGGGTTCGAATTTTTCTTCAGCAACCCATGCTTGTCCTAAGAGGCGACTATGCTTGTCGTAAGAGGCGACTAATGGGATCGGGTGGTCAGGCTCGCTGACTTGGTTGATGCATGTCATTGTATCCCGTTTGTGTAAATCGATGCTTGTGATGTCAGTCACTGGATTGTCTGGTCCAGATTTGATTATTTACTGATCACCGTCATATACATGATGTAGGTGGAATATTGCTGTGTGCAGCGTTACACAAACAAACAACCAATACAAAGATAAAGAGGAGGAGGCACAGGCTCACAGTTTTAATCGCTAACTCCCATAGATTTACATGCATCAACCAAGTCAGCGAGCCTGACCACCTGATCCCGTTAGTCACCTCTTATGACAAGCATGGCTTGCTGAAGACCTATTCTACCCCGGATCTTCACGGGTCTAATAATACGTTAACAAATAACAAAGCGTAAGTCAATTATTGATGCAAAACATTTCATCTCCGTAGTTCATAATTTGTTCTCTTCGATATAAGGATGAAACCACTCGTGAAGACCCGGGGTAGAATAGGTCTTCAGCAACCCATGCTTGTTGTAAGAGGCGACTTACGGGATCGGGTGGTTGACTTGGCTGATTCATGTCAGCATATCCCAATTGCAAGAAACGATTGAGAAGAACCTGCAGTATATATAATATTAGTGCTTTGAGCACAGTCTGTGGAGGCTCTCGCAATATAAGTACACATTATTATGATGATGATTATTATTATTATAATATTAGTGCTTTGAGCACATTGTGTGGAGACTAGCGCAATACAAGGACACATTATTGTGATGATGATGATGATGATGATTATTATTATTATAATATTAGTGCTTTGAGTACATTGTGTGGAGACTAGCGCAATACAAGGACACATTATTGTGATGATGATGATGATGATGATTATTATTATTATAATATTAGTGCTTTGAGCACATTGTGTGGAGACTAGCGCAATACAAGGACACATTATTGTGATGATGATGATGATGATGATTATTATTATTATAATATTAGTGCTTTGAGTACATTGTGTGGAGACTAGCGCAATACAAGGACACATTATTGTGATGATGATGATGATGATGATGATGTTCCAGATGGATCTGTCCACCCTCATCACCAAGGCTGGATGCGAGTGTCTGAATGAATCTGATGACCACCCCCTTGCCCACGCCCTCTCCCAGAAAGGAGGTTACTTGGAGTCAGATGTGGATGAACAGGTACTTGAGAAACAAGCTTTTGTTCTGTTTGTTTGTTTGTTTGTTTGTTGTTTGACACCGCACTCAGTAATTTGGCCACAGCCTTGCCCATAGTTAATTAAAAGTTCACTCCTTCATACCAATATTTTCGACCATGACAGAAAAAAGGGCTCCTTTTCAGGGATTTGAATATGCCTGGTGTGTTCCATACCGATATTTTAAGTTTGTATTTTCCTGTTTCCAATAAAGGTCATGATTCTGAATTTTAAACTTATCCTATGACTCACTATGCATGTCTTCTTTCTTCTTTGATGCTTGAACAGAGTTTCCACCCGAATACATCACGCATGACCATGGTCACCTACATAACCTGATCATGTGCTTCCTGTATCTGTCCATCTTCCCAAGGCAAGAGTGTCCACTAGCCTTTTTATCAAAGTCTTGTTTCTTCCACCCTTGCAACATCAAGCCCACTTTCCTGTGCTATGATTGGACTATCGCACATATTGATAGTCCAATCAGAGAACGTTTAACAAAATCAACATCCAACATCGTTATCTGTTCCCCTATTGTAGTCGCCATCTTTGTGAAGCTACACAAGATAAGAACAGCGATCTGATTGGATATTGTGTTTTCATTACAAGGGGCACAACTCGTGATCTACGCGAAGTGGCGCCAGGGTCGAGCCAAGAAAAGTGGGCTTGATGAGGCAAGGGTAGAAACTAGGCTTTAATATAGGCTAGTGAACACGCTTACCTCGGGAAGATGTCGTGTTTTGTCAATAGAGAATATGTTTTGGTCTATTTTTCTCAATGGACTCCCTGTCATAGCGCAGCCATTTTTATACCACGCTTAGGTCCTGGGTCATTGTCTATTACAATGGCGCTGGTCACCTCAGATACCAGTATGGTCCTGGCCACAGCTCCCTCCGGTGTAACGATTGCTGTCACTCCTTCGACTGTTCCCTTGCTCGTGGCATCTCATTCGGATGATCGTTCTGACTCCTTGAGTACAGCTTACAGTCCTCAAGGAGATCAATCAGCTACTCACCAACCTCTTTGGGATCGCGGTTTCCAATCACGGTTCCAAGCCTCGGCACTCCACTGTCCAGCATTCAGCTTCAAATGGGCAGAATCGATTATAGACATTCAGGATAGGGTGACCGCACATTGTTTTAGCACTCGAAGATCGACAATACCACACCGATTTTACCCAGTCGTCTCGTCCTGCCACTATGCTTCATGGAGATGACTGCTCCTCTGCTTGCTTCCTGTGTTATAGCTACACTGGCTCCTATGGGAGTGCACTTGGGAGTGCTCTATCTTTTGGGACTACCAACATTGTCGTCAGGACTCTCAAGGTTGGGATGTTCATCGATACAGCCCTTATTCAGGCCCCCCGGGAAGGTTTTCCCACTCACATAGACTCCTGATAGGGATATCCATACCTGTCGTCTTATCTGTACTTTTACTGGACTCTCTCTAGCCCAAGATGCCCAAATTACCTGACTTTACCGAAAGGACAGTCACTGATCTTCCCCAGCTTATTGTCGTTGGTCTTTGACGTTACCTCAGTGAGATCTGCTGAACCACTCCGCCATCTATGCAGTTACTCCCTGCTTCTTGGGATGACAGGGACCAGCCTCTTGACCCGGAACTGAACTTTGACTCTCTTGAGCATGTTGAGCAGGCAGACACCAAGGTCATACAGCAACAAACGGATTCGTGATTCCTGCTGTTGCGACCAGCTCAACTCTCATTCTGGTTCCTTTCCAGCCTGCTTCAGTCCACCTCTACCTTGACTGGGGCGGTCGGGTAGCCTAGTGGTTAAAGCGTTCACTCGTCATGCCGAAGACCCAGGTTCGATTCCCGACATGGGTACAAAGTGTGAAGCCCATTTCTGGTGTCCCCCGCCGTGATATTGCTGGAATATTGCTAAAAGTGGCGTAAAACCATACTCACTCACTCACTCACTCTACCTTGACACATCAACCATGGGCTGGGGTAGGGGGCTGGGGTCCTACGACAAGCATTGCCTTTGGCTGTGAAACTGTCGGAATCTCACTGGTTGGTGCAGCTCTGTTCCTCTCACCTCTGATACAGCTGGACATCAATGTGGTAGTTTGGCACAGGATTACATGCATGAATCATTTGTTTGGGAGGTGACCATGGTGACCATGGTGATGCTGGGATGTGTTCAGGTGAATTGTTTTTTAGAAGCTGGAAACTCTGTGTCCACATAGGATCGAAGAAGAAAAAAGAAATGCATAGTGTGACATATGATAAGTATCTGAATGTACAATTTATTTGAAAATATCCAATTTTGTTTTATATATTTTTTTAAATCTTTTTGTTTGTTTTGTTTAACCCCACACTCAGCAATATTCCAGCTATATGATGGCGGTAGGTAAATATAATCGAATCTGGACCAGACAATCCAGTGATTGACATCATTAGCATCGATTCAGGCATTTGGTATACGATGACATGCATCAACCAAGTCAGTGAGCCTGATCATCCATCCCATTAGTCGCCTCTTACGACAAGCATAGTCACCTTTTAGGGCAAGCATGGGTTGCTGAAGACCTGTCAGGTAATCACAATGGGGACTTAATGGATTGGGAACTGCTTGAATCGTTGCTCATGATATCAATCACTGCATTGTCTGGTCCAGACTCGAATATTTACTCGAATTTTGCTGAGCATGGCACTGAAACAAGAAACTAACAATTGACCTGTATATCCATACACAAGTGGGTGATGGCACTGTCACAAGAAACTAACAATTGACCTGTATATCCATACACAAGTGGGTGATGGCACTGAAACAAGAAACTAACAATTGACCTGTATATCCATACACAAGTGGGTGATGGCACTGAAACAAGAAACTAACAATTGACCTGTATATCCATACACAAGTGGGTGATGGCACTGAAACAAGAAACTAACAATTGACCTGTATATCCATACACAAGTGGGTGATGGCACTGAAACAAGAAACTAACAATTGACCTGTATATCCATACACAAGTGGGTGATGGCACTGAAACAAGAAACTAACAATTGACCTGTATATCCATACACAAGTGGGTGATGGCAGTGGAACAAACTAACAATTGACCTGTATATCCATACACAAGTGGGTGATGGCAGTGGAACAAACTAACAATTGACCTGTATATCCATACACAAGTGGGTGATGGCACTGAAACAAGAAACTAACAATTGACCTGTATATCCATACACAAGTGGGTGATGGCACTGAAACAAGAAACTAACAATTGACCTGTATATCCATACACAAGTGGGTGATGGCACTGAAACAAGAAACTAACAATTGACCTGTATATCCATACACAAGTGGGTGATGGCAGTGGAACACTTTCATCCTCTCTGTTGCAGCTCATCATTAGCTTGGCCTTCTCCCAGCCAGTGAAGCTTCACTCTCTCAAGGTGAATGGGCCAGCAGGTAGGAAGTCCTTGGCTTGTTTTAACAGAGCTCCAGATAAGCTGCGTATCAGAAATGCAGAAATACGCAGTAAAATAAAATCCAAGCGTATCAAAAACGCAACGAACATTACAGATACGCTACAAAAATAAAACTTGTGCGTATCATCAAAATATTGTGAAGTAACCCTGCGTATTTGATTAGCGAATCAGCAACTTATTTTGAAATTATAAACGGGCATTCTGTCAACCTTGCCAAACTCCACGATGACAGTTACATCATGATCATTTGCCATCACACTTTCTTGTGGAAGTATTGTGGTATTTGTGAGTCCTATAAAGCTCTCTAACCCACATGACACCGGTTTGCAGGGACTAGAGGAATAGTGTTGTTAAATATTTAACTTAAATACCCAAATGTGTAAAAACTAGTGGGTTACAGAAATTTGAATATCCAGATAGAATTACTGATACCCAATGATTTTAAAATGCATGGGTAAAATACCCACAACACCAAAAACTTATCTGGAGCTCTGTTTTAATGTACGGGGCGGACGGGTAACCCAGTGGCTAAAGCGTTCATTCGTCTCACCGAGTTCGATTCCCGACATGGGTACAGTGTGTGAAGCCCATTTCTGGTGTCCCCGGCCTTGATATTGCTGGAATACTGCTAAAAGCGGTGTAAAACCAAACTCACTCACTCACAGTGGTATCAACTTCATTAACATATCTCACTGCGTGAAGATCATATCCACTCCATAGGAACCGGGCAGGGACGAGACCTTGTCGGAAATAAAGAATAACTGAAGAAACCAATTATCAAATTATCAGTCACTGACAAGTGAAGTGTGATCTTTAACAGTATATCATCAGCTTTACAGCGCTCCAGATAAGCTGCTTATTAGCATAACATACACAAAATAAATTGCCATAACTCAATATATTTTGAGATCCTCGTGTACAAATATGCATGATTTGTCCTTTCCCTCCCCAATAGGATAACAGCTCTGTGTTTAATTACCCTATGTAATCTTTTCAGCTTAAGTGCCCGAATAGTTTTGCACATCCAGAGCTCAAGATAAGCTGCGTCTTTGCATAAATTATGCATTAAATAAACTGAGATTCGCAGACAAATCAAATCCTAGCATATCAAATGCACAGCAAAAACTATAAATACATTATGAACTATTAGATAACTATTAGATAAAACAGTTGCGTATATTACAACTCTCAGATAAAAAGATTGTGTATCAGCCGATCGCAAACTTCTCTTACCAACAGTTGCATTTGGAAAAGCTTGTGAGAAAAAAATACTGATAGATGCCAATTGAAAAGCATATCATGCCAATGTACATGTTGTATCTTAAAAGTCGCTGATTGGTATTTAAAAAAAGGGCCTTTCTTACAATGCTAGGTTTTGCAAACTGAAATGGCTTCACGGAGAGGTTCACTACTATCTACATAGTTCTAAATTATTTTCAGGGATGAAACAGGTTTTAAGTTAAAATACCCAAATGTCAAGAGACGTGGGTAGAAAAAGTTGGAATACCCCCTAAGAATTGTGGATACCCAGTCAAAATGAAACCCCTGGGTAAAATACCCCAGTAACCAAAAGCTTATCCTTAGCTCTGACACATCTATATTTGCTGTGGTGTGCAGGCACCGTCTATACTTATACTCTACCGCAGGGAATAATGCACAATAGGGCTCTGTCTCGCTTATTGCAACTGGAGACCCATGAAGAACCGGGGTAGAATAGGTCTTCAGCAACCCATGCTTGCCGTAAAAAGCCAACTATGCTTGTCGTAAGAGGCAACTAACGGGATCAGGTGGTCAAGCTCGCTGACTTGGGTGTTTGTTTGTTGTCTAACGCCGCACTCAGCAATATTCCAGCTATAATGACGGCGGTCGGTAAATAATCAAGTCTGGACTAGACAATCCAGTGATTGACATTATGAACATCAATCCATGCAATTGGGATCGATGACATGCATCAATCAAGTCAGCAAGTCTGACCACCTGATCCTGTTAGTTGCCTCTTACGACAAGCGTGGGTTGCTGTTGACCATCACAGTTCGGATTTATTTAGAAAATAAAGAAACTTGGTTTTTTTTCAGTGTGGAAATGAACACACAGCATGTGATTGTGATTGACCAAATTCATGATAGAATCTGAAGGGATCGTTGTCAAAGGCACCACAATTTGATTTAAGAGTTGCATCCCTTGGACCTATGATCGTGGGTTTGATACCCAGTTCGCCCCAATTATGTTTCCGGCTTCTTCGGCCCGATTCTAGTGATAAATGTCAAAGACCTGCATCACTTCGGGCTTTTCTCCCACTTTAAGCTGACACACTGTGATACAATCGGAATACTCTTCAAATTGCCGACAATCACATCTCACTCACTGAAGGGATCCATGGTTCCTGGATAACATGTTTGTGTGATTCTATTTCAGAAAATGCGCCCAAAACAATAAAACTGTTCATCAACCAACCAACCACACTTGACTTTGATGCTGCCGACTCCATGGAACCTGTACAGAAATTCATGTAAGTGACGAAGGTGGGAAACCCGGGACAGAGCGTGGACTCATACGTGACCAACTCGTGTTATTCCGGGACAAGCCGAATAGCGACTCGTGCCCCTCTCATTGCCATTTTTGCAACCGGGTTCCGTCTTAACGCAAGCGGGCATACCTAAAACATTTGTCAACTCTTTGCGTAATGGTTTACATATATTTCCCAATATATTATATATATTTCAGATGCAAGTTAGAGCACATTGGGACATGCGGAATTACACAGTATGATTGAATACATTTAACTGTGTCTTGGATATATTTTTAGATGCAAGACATATATAAAATCAAAAATTATTTCTGAGGGATTCTTTGATGAAGAACTTGAAATCATATGCGCATTCTGATTGGTTTGTCGTATTTTCGCACATAACATTCATCGATAGGGGGATGAGTCTTCTTGCAGGTTACGGAAAGGGGCAATAGGTGACGAATGAGCTTGGACTTTTAACATGATTAACAACTAAGGGAGGTCACTCTAATTTACGAGGTGTTGAGTAGCCCTACAGGTTACACACTACCAAATGTTTTCCCATAGACGTCTGTAGTAACGTTATATTTTTTTTTAAATAACTAAGCATTCAGCAGCTATTACCTGTACGTGTGTGCACAGTTTGGCCTTAGAGCAGCAATATAAAAAAATAAATGACTAGCTTAGCCAGCTCCTTTTCGGAGTACGGGAAGCTAAACACACCACCCCCAGTTCCGCACCAAATATCACCTACTTGAAAATAGCTGCGGTCACATTCAGCATAAGTCATAGTGTTGTAAAAGACAGGACTAAATATAGAAAATCATGGTCAGTTTTAATAACTGGATGGATGTACATTTAAAAGACATAAAAATCTTACACAATATCGTCCAATCACAGCCTGCAGATATCTCTCAATCTGCACTGAAGGCCGCACTGTCCCAACGGGTTCTGATTTGGTGTAGTAGAAACTGTTGGTCACCAAAACACGCAACATGTTATGCACGCTTCAATCATAACTTCCTTGTCAAATTATTTTTCACAAAGCTGCAGTTTTTTAAAGGAGGGCCTGCAGGTTCTAATGTTTGTTGGTCCTGAAGGCTGTTTATTAGTTTTCAAACACTGACTTCAATCTGCTACAACTAACAGTCATCTGATATATACTTACACTACATAATTGATAGGGGTGACTATTGGTCTGGAAATCACTATTGCGATAACTATTGATATTGCAAGCAACTATTGCGATAACTATTGATAGTTTTCAGTGTATCATTTTAGATGGATTTTAGAGTTGAATTAAACCTTGGAACTGAAGTTTCCTTTGAATGTGATAACCATGACAACAAATAACAAGTAAAGTTTGAGATATGACTCATTTGTTTTTTCTTTACCTTTATTTTTTAAGAAAAAGAAACTTCCCCATTACCATGTGTAAATTACTACCACTCATGATCAAAAGAAAACCAAAATTGAACAGCATTGCATGTATTTTATTGATATGGTAAATACAATTGAAACTATCGATATTCCTACCTGAAATAGATACTATTGATTGGAAACTGTTTTAACAATCGATTTATTGACTTTAAGTGCTTACCAATAACAATATATCGATATTTTGATTTATCGTGACACCCCCAAATAATTAATTTGATCTAATGGATATAAAATTTTCATCGCTCACTCATTCAACCACTCACTCACTCACTCACTCACTCAACCACTCAACCACTCACTCAACCACTCGCTCGCTCAACCACTCACTGGCTCAACCACTTACTCAACCACCCACTCTGTGTTGCAGACTTACACCTGAAGATGTCAAGGAAGGCGCTCTTGTCCAGCTTCGCTATGTTAAATTCCAGAATGTACAGAACATCACAGTAGGTATTTGTGTTCTTTGTTATGTGACCGGTGAAGATCCGTGAAAGAATAGTTCTTCAGCAACCTTTGCTTGTTGTAAGAGGCGACTAACAGGATCGGATGGTCAGGCTCACTGACTTGGTTGATGCATGTCATCGTATCCCAATTGATAGATGCTCATGATGTCAATCACTAGCTTGTCTGGTCCAGACTTGATTATTTACATACCGCTGTCATATAGCTGGAATATTGCTGAGTGCGGCGTTAAACAACAAACATCTATTTATGTGCCTTCCTGATGTGACTGGAATACTCACTAATTTATTCACTCATACTGCTGAGTATTAATACTATGCCAATAATCATAAAATATTCTTGTCCCTAATTACATATTGAAATAATTTTCTTGCTACCGGTAAATCTCATCTCCACACCCTGAGGATTCCAGGATGGAATTAGTCCCCAGGAACCTGTGCTGGTCTTACGAGGGCTGGTCAAGACGTTCTAAACCAGACTAACTTTCAACTCTGGGCCATAACAAAGTCATAGTCAATGTAGTACATTGTTTGAGTCGTTCATTGCATGTGTATTTGGTCTGTTGAGGCCGTTTGTATATTCGTGACAGCCAGTTGAACATGATAGGGGTCCAAATGGACACAGAAAAGGAACAGAACGAGTACCAAGCAGTCATCAAGTTTTTGACTTTGGAGAAAAGTACTCCCCAAGAAGTTCATGACAGCATGTCACAAGTGTATGGGGATAAGTGCCCTAGCTATACCACTGTTAAACGTTGGGCAGCTATGTTTAAGGCTGGGAGAACAAGCCTTGATGATGACCCTAGGTCTGGACGTCCCTCAACTTCCATCAATGAAGATTCAATAAAAAGGATAGAAAAACTTATACCATCAGATAGACGTATTACCAGTGCTGAAATTGAGGAAGACACCGGTCTAAGCCATGAGTCCATTAAAACTATTATTGATGAACATTTACAGATGAATTAGATATCTGCAAGCCTTGGAGGTTTTCCACTTTTGTCAACTCGTGTTGATATATTTGACATGAAAAGAGTGAGATTCTCTATATCATCCAACATCATTCTTCCAACTTTTTCAGTTTGTAGACAGTAATAAGCAGTGTCTTCAGTGTAAAAAGTACAGCTGACAGCTTCAGTAGCAGAGCCAATAGTGATGTCATTTGATTGTGACGTCATGGTAACAGTGAGGTCACAATGGTCTGCAAAGCATTGTGATGCAATTTCATGCTTCATCTCACCCAAGCAATAACTCCTGTGGGAGACAGTTTTGGATGACAAATGATGTTTGTGATACAGGACCACACTCCGCTAATAATCTATTTATCCATATGCAGGTTTTTATCAAAGATAACCTCGGTGACGCGGAGACAACGCAGATTGACTACCTGGGTATCATCGGCAGTCCCGTGCAGGCAACCAACATGTCAGACTTTAAGCGGGTAAGCATTGCTGTCGCCGCAGCTCTTGTCTACTCAGACAAAATCTCATTAAAACCAGATCTTAGTTCTCGTTACCACTAAACAAAGATCTGAGGACATCCCATTACGGGTCACGTCAGACCGCAAACTTTGACCAACCAATAGAATGACCAATCAGAAGGCAGCTTTCTCTTGCTTTACGGCACAAATTTCAAATTGGCGACTACTCTTGAAAAAAATATTTTGACAAATTCTCGATTACCGGTACAAATTTGAAACCTGAACAAAAAAACATTCTTGAATGGCTAATAGATGGTTTAGATTGTAAGGATTCAGTCGTTAAACCCGTAACTATCGTTCGGAATACCAATGTTAAAGTTTTCGAGATTGCATTATTAGAAATCACATTCCAACTGTCACTTTCATAATCTGGTAAGCAACGCACTGATTGGTCGGATGAGAGGTCGTTCTGACATGACCCCTAATGGGATGTCTTCAGATCTTTGTTTAGCGGTAGCGAGAACTAAGATCTGATTTTAATGAGATTGACTCAGACCCCATGGGGATTCCGGGTTAGAATTTGTCCCCAACAGCCCAATGATGATATAAACAATCAACAAACAAACAATAATAAAATCAGATATTTGACAATTCTTTTCCAGGTTGCGGGGAAGAAAGGCGAGAGTCACTGAACGAGGTCTGCGTCAAGAATGATGAATTATCTCCCTTGGATTGAAATACTAATGGACATGACAACAGGCCATGTGAAGCCACATTTAACTTGACCAGACAAGTACAGGAACAGGTTCATGTGGCTTTAGGGGTTTATCTAGACTTGCTCACAGTCACCAAGGCTGCAACAAATGACAGTTCAAATTCCCAATTTGAATATAAAGTTACCCAATTCCGTGTGATTTATGAAAATAAGGACAGTAAAAAAATCATTTTTGAACAGTGTTACAAGCTTGTCCCGATTAACCTGCCAAGCTTCTTCCTAGATAAATCCCTGAGGCTTGGTTTGCCATTTCGGAAGAATCATTGAATGAAAGACCTTAAGGTCAGGCTGGATGAAGTGGATTGTTGTCAATATGTTTGGGCTCAGGGGTTATGAAAGAAACACAGCGAGATTCATTTCCAGTTTTGAATCATTGTAATTGTTTTTGCAACATTTAGGAAATTATCAAAAATAGTTTGTAGAATTTTGTCACTTCGTTCATGGGGCTGACAGTGAAAATGTATTTGATATTTTTCAAGTACAAGCATACTACTCAGGGGTGGATCAAGGATTTTGAAAAAGGGTGGGTTCCACCGGGGCCATTGGTAAAATATACACAGGGTGTATGAGGGTAAATATAACTGCATACTTCATAACAATTATTCATGAGCTCATGACCGTTGCTACTTGTTTGTTTTAAGATACTCCACATCATCGTCCTGAAACAGTTAAGATTCTTGTTACTGTTACATGACCCTGTTGACATTACGCATGTTTGTATTATCTTCAATGCACTGTAGGTAATCAGGGCGGTCGGGTAGCCTAGTGGTTAAAGCGTTCACTCGTCACGCGGAAGACCCAGGTTTGATTCCCACAAGGGTACAATGTGTGAAGCCCATTTCTGGTGTCCCCCGCTGTGATATTGCTGGAATAGTGCTAAAAGCGGCATAAAACCATACTCACTCACTGTAGGTAATCCTGTTGAGATGTTGATCTTTCCAATGGTTTATGACAATAGCTTCTCAGAATTGAGTTTGGAAAGTGGATGTTAGGTGATTATTTGGTTCCCAATCTGTGGTATGCATTGTCACAACCTTGATACTTGGGAACCCCTTTTGATAATGAATATAAAAAACAAATTAGGCTGCCCTGTGCATGTTGGCTTTGATTGCCATAAATTTTTATAGTTCATGTCTGTTCTGAATAAAGATCATCCCACAAGGTTGATTTGCTCTTTGTATGGAGGTGACGGGTCAATATCTGTGTGTTTTGTGTACAACCAGTCATTGGTTCAAATTACAGATTTAGCTTACAACTGTTGGTCTGCCAGCACTGTACCTACTCGCAGGTTCCTTGATAGACCCCATTTCTGTTGTCCAACTAGTCCACAGCTCATTTCAGACAAGTGGCTTAAGTAAAATAACAAGATTTTAGGAGAAAAATAACTTGATTTCAGGAGAAAACTACTTGTCAGTTTCTACTGGACTGGAGGCCATTCACAAGAGACTCATTCTTTATCACTTTTTTGTCTACAAGAGGGGCAGTCTGGTAGCCTAGTGGTTAAAGCGTTTGCTCGTCATGCCGAAAACCCAGGTTCAATTCCCGACATGGGTACAATGTGTGAAGCCCATTTCTGGTGTCCCCCGCCGTGCTATTGCTGGAATATTGTTAAAAGCGTTGTAAAACCATACTCACTCACTCACTTTTGTCTACAAGACTCCAAGTAATTGAAAGTGTCCATTCTGTGTCAGACTCTCTGGTCTGGATACACAGTCAGTGTTATTGTACAGGCCATCTCTCTGTGTATTTTAAATGAAGTGTATGTCATTTGTAAATGATACCCTGAATAAAGAAGGATGGAAGTTTGTATCAGTTGTTTCTTAAGTTGAAAACGGGGGGTCGGGTAGCCTAGTGGTTAAAGCATTTGCTCATCACGCCGAAGACCTGGGTTCGATTCCCGACATGGGTACAATGTGTGAAGCCCATTTCTGGTGTCCCCCGCCGTGCTATTGCTGGAATATTGTTAAAAGCGTTGTAAAACCATACTCACTCACTCACTTTTGTCTACAAGACTCCAAGTAATTGAAAGTGTCCATTCTGTGTCAGACTCTGGACTGGATACACAGTCACAGTGTTATTGTACAGGCCATCTCTCTGTGTATTTTAAATGAAGTGTATCTCATTTGTAAATGATACCCTGAATAAAGAAGGATGGAAGTTTGTATCAGTTGTTTCTTAAGTTGAAAACAGCGCGGCCGGGTAGCCTAGTGGTTAAAGCGTTCATTCGTCACGCCAAAGACCTGGGTTCGATTCCCGACATGGGTACAATGTGTGAAGCCCATTTCTGGTGTCCCCGCCGTGCTATTGCTGGAATATTGCTAAAATCGGTGTAAAACTATTCTCACTCACTTAAGTTAAAAACAGCAGGTTCGTTTGCCAAGCCACTGATCTTGGTTTGATCCTGGATGAAGCTGCAATGTGTACAGCCTATTTCAGGTGTCCCCCTGCCAGGATATTTCTGTAATGTTGAATAAACGCATACTGGAGTCTCCCCAACTTCTTGAAGCCATTGTCAGGGAGCCTAGTGGTTAAAGCGTTCGCTTGTCACACCGAAGACCCAGGTTCGATTCCCGACAGGGGTGCAATGAGTGATGGTGTCCCCCGCTGTGATATTGCTGGAATATTGCTAAATGCGGTGTAAAACCATACTCAGTCACTCACTCTTCAGCCTCACAGAAGTTGATTCACTTCGGAAAGGAAGCTTTTCTAAGCTTTTCTCAAATATGATATTCAATAACATTAACGTTGTATTTACTTAAAATTAAGCAGGTATTATTACGCACTTATAGGTGGGTGACCCGTGAATATCCGGGGTAGAATAGGTCTTCAGCAACCCATGTCTGCCGTAAAAGGGGCGGTCGGGTAGCCTTGTGGTTAAAGCCTTGCTCTTCACGCCGAAAACCTGGGTTCGATTCCCGACGCTCACTTAATGCCAAGACATCACCTCCATGATGTAGTGAGGTGAGGTGAGGTGAAATTGGGTTTAACGTCGCGTCCAAGATTATTGCACTTATATAGCGACGTGCATGTACGTGTGTGTGTGTGTGGCTGCTTGTACTAGTCCGGACTGATGCCGATTTATAGTGCTTGCACACTGAGATACCATGCGCAGTTAAACATGAATACCCCACTCAGACACAGTATACTGACTCCGAGCCGACCAGTCCTTGTTTTAGCCCCTTAATGTTGAGCGCCAGACAGGGTAACAACAAGTACCATCTTTTAACGTCTTTTGGTATGACGCGGCCGGGGATCGAACCCCGGACCTTCCGCTCTCCATGATGTAGTGGGTGAAGCATCTGGACTGTGGAAAGTCAGTGGTTTGATCCCTGGATGTGTCATGTTGTTTCTTTGTGTGTTGTTTAACGCTGCACTCAGCACTATTCCCTCTACATGACGGCGGTCTGTAAATAATCAAGTCTGCCCCAGACAGTCCAGTGATTGACATCATGAGCATCGATCCACACAAATGGGATAAGATGACATACATTAACCAAGTCAGCGAGCCTGACCACCCGATCCCATTAGTCGCTTCTTTCAACAAGCATAGTCGCCTGTTAGGGCAGACAAGGGCTGTTAATGTTATTTCTCTGCCTAGCACAGAGCATTAAGGGATACAAGGACTGGTCGGCATGGAGTCAGTATAATGTGGATTATCCTGCATTGTATATCGATGGCTCTACAAAACCAGCCTAAGTCGGACTAGTACAAGCAGCCACACACACGTGCTTTCACATCACTGTATAAGTGCAATAATATTGTATGTGAAATGAGGCCATGTTAACCTCACCTTAATGCCTATAGGGGCAAGGGGGGTGCCATGCAGTATAAGGGTGCACTCAGCACGCCAAAGATCTGGGTTCGATTCCCCACGTTGGCACAATGTGCTAAGCCCATTTCTGGTTCCCCCTGCTATGATATAACGGGAATAAAGCTAAAAGTGGTGAAAAACCATACTCACTCACTCACTCACTCATTGTAGACAGTGAAGCTCATGTCCACATTTGAGTTTGCAAAAATCAAACCCAAACATTGTCAGTTTCTAATTTGAGATCAGGTGAATCAGTGTCCGTTTTTGGCAGTGTTTTGGGTTCCTTGAGGTGATGAAGACATTGCTTGATAAAGGTACCAACTAGGGCTGCGACGGGTAAATCGGGTACTCGGGACAGGTGGGTTCTACTCTCAGCCTACCCAAATCTCACTCCCTCACCTTGTTGTAAGAGGTGACTAACAGGATCGGGTGGTCAGGCTCGCTGACTTGGTTGATGCATGTTATCGTATCGCATGTGGATCGATGCTCATGATATCAATCACTGGATTGTCTGGTCCAGACTCGATTATTTACAGATCGCCGTCATATAGCTGGAATATTGCTGAGTGCGGCGTTAAATAACAAACAAACAAAACCAAAATCTTGAACAAACCGACACTTCTTTATACGAAATGAAAAATAAATTCTATGATCCCAGAAATTTAAACCGTTCCATAATTCCACAAACATTATGTTGGTGCACACATGATATTTAATTGCAAATATACATCCTTTTAATTCTTACATTAAAATGGAGTCTTAACTCTGCATTGTTTGTTCTCTATTTTGAAAATGTGTTGATAACGTTAATATCAAGTTCCATAGCACACACTGAAAGGTTCCACCTCTTGATTCTGGGTAATAACGGACACACGAACATTAGACAAGTAGTTAACTGTTAATGTGATTTTGTTTACAATTGTTTTTTACCATCCTGAACCAGCCATGTCTTAGGATGCAGGAATCAATAAATAAATCAATCATGAATCAGTGCTTTTAGGTAGTGAAGTTGCAGAATATTGGTATAAAAGCTAAATGTGCACCTGACAAGCATATCATCTTCTATATGGCCAACAATAACCCCTGGTTCCATCCCCGTGGCTCTCGCGATCTCAAATTACCCGCCCTTGATTTTCTTGAGCCAATTTGAATTGCTATTCAGTATAACGGACCAATCAGATTGCGAGTTGCAATCCAACCTCAATGATGAGTTGGCGATGTCAACAACAGGCGACAAACCCAACTGATTACGACAGAGTTTAAAATAAATTTGTGGCCGAAAATTCTTGAAAAATATGATTATGCAAAAATTGCCTGCCACATTGTTGAAAGGCGATTTTCTTTTAAAAAAATATCAAGTTTTTTAGCTGTAGCCGAACATATATCTAATTTCGAGACAAAATACCCCGAATATCAAATATCAACCGTCTTAGTGATATATAATCGCTTTGTGATTGCTACTTAAATACACTGTTAATAGTGCATGTTTCTGAAGACGTAATGACACAACCATTTATGTGTTGTCAGAAATATAATTGGCAACTCGGATAACCTCTCCTGCTCCGGCTCCTCTGATCCCTCCGTCAGCACTGACGCCGATGACGACAACGGTGGGACACACCATCACACAGCCTGATAGAGGTTCCGTGTCCTGCTTGCTCTTAGACTTTAAAAGGCACATCCGGTCGCTGCGCTCTAGCTTGAGAACAGCGAAGCTCTCTTTGTTAAGCGTGACGCCGGAGGTCGTGAAGGACATGTCCCCGGTTAGTATTGCGTCCTTGATACCCTTGACTTCCTGGGCACTGGGTGTGAAACTGGCACTTGCTGCAAGCGAGTTGCCGTTGTGGTCGAATATACCCCCTTCCTTCATAAACGGTTTCTGCATGAGACTAGCATGGTGGTTTCTCCAACCCGCGTAGGGATCCATCTGAAACAAGAAAAATTAAACTTATTGAGTTTATGGGGCGGTCGGGTAGGCTAGTGGTCGAAGCGTTCGCTCGTCACGCCGAAGACCCGGGTTCGATTACCGACATGGGTACAATATGTGAAGCCCATTTCTGGTGTTCCCCGCCGTGATATTGCTGGAATATTGCTTAAAGTGTCGTAAAACCTCACTCACTCACTCACTCACTCACTCACTCACTCACTCACTCACTCACTCACTCACTCACTCTCACTCACTATTGATTTCATCGTTAACTGACAATGAATGTCCAGTTTCTACTTTTATAGTCAGTTAACGCCCTTGCCTCATGAAGATGTTTTGAACACAGCAGCAATACCGCACTTCCTTTATTGGATGCCCGGGCGTCTATTTATCTTTCGGACCGCCTCCGTGGTCTAATGGTAGAGCGTCCGCCCGGAGAGCGGAAGGTCCGGGGTTCGACCCCCACCCGCGTCATACCAAAAGACGTTAAACAGTGTCATACCTTTAGACGTTAAACAATGGTACTTGTTGTTACCCTGTCTGGCGCTCGGCATTAAGGGGGTAAAACAAGGACTGGTCGGCTCGGAGTCAGTATACTGTGTCTGAGTGGGGTATTCATGTTAAACTGCGGCATGGTATCTCAGTGAGCTAGCACTATAAATCGGCATCAGTCCGGACTAGTACAAGCAGCCACACACATACATACACGTGCATGCACGTCGCTATATAAGTGCAATAATCTTGGAACCGACGTTAAACCCCATTTAACCTCACCTATTTATCTTGCACAAGTCGTTGTATTGACCCGGTGTCTATTAGAGGCCGACATCTGTTCTGTCCATAATGACATTCTTATGATATCAATGATATAGAGGCCACTGGGACCTACTTTTAATGAGTAGCACATGCATTTCTTCTGTTGGCAAATTGAAGTCCACAGCCAAGGAACATCATGTTTGGTTTCTGTTTTGGATAGCCCTTTGGAAAATTCTTGAAAAACCTGCCACTGATATTGAAGGTCAGATTCACTCTCAAGGTCACACATTCAGTACAACACGTCAACGCCAGAAATGAACCAGCCTCGATCATCCGACCCAGAAAACAGGATTCCACAGGATGGACAAGGCAAATTATATGAATGGATCACTGAAAATCAGTAATGACGCCAGGTGTTCGTGAAACGGGTAAGCACCTACGCATAAGTGAGTGAGTGAGTGAGTATAGTTTAACGCCGCTTTTGGCAATATTCCAGCAATATCACGGCGGGGGACACCAGAAATGGGCTTTAGACATTGTACCCATGTCGGGAATCGAACCCGGGTCTTCGGCGTGACGAGCGAACACTTTAACCACTAGGCTACCCGACCGCCCCCTACGCATAAGAAAGTATGTGTTTGTAGCCTGACAAAGCAGTACTCCTGTCATTTCGTGGCGGCATGTATACAAACCAGACAATGCAGTGGTGGATCAGAAATCTAGCGATAAGATGGCACACTCACTGCTTTTGAACTATATGTTAATATCGTATATTTTTTAAAAGGCATTCGCTCGAGGTAACCCAAGAAATGAAATAAAGTAGATGTCACCCTTGGAATGGAGAATTGAAGAAGAAAGCTTTTCATCGACCATTATTGAAGGTCAAGGTCACTAAAATGGTAGTTTGTAAGGTTCTGCTTTGTGTCCTGAACAATCTGTGTTCGTATGAGATGTCAGTAAGAGTGAGCACCCGTGTTTTCGACCATAACTATTTAAGCATGCGATTGGATGAAACTGAATTTTTCCCAACCGGAAGTGATGTTATTAAACCGGAAATACTTATCGTTTTCTTATTAAGGTAGCTATAACGACATGCATTTCTGTTTTAAAGTTGCTCTGTATTTGACATATGTTTTCCCAAACTTGAGGGGATGTTATATTAAACCGGACGTAGTAATTACTTTGTTATCAATGTGGGCAAACTTTTGATACAGCCAGGAAAAGAAAAAGATTGGGATGGAGCTGCTTGAGTTGTTGCAAGTAATTGCTTCGCCCCTCAATCCATATACTACCATTGCTTCGCCCCTCAATCCATATACTACCATTGCTTCGCCCCTCAATCCATATACTACCATTGCTTCACCCCTCAATCCATATACTACCATTGCTTCACTCCTCAATCCATATACTACCATTGCTTCACTCCTCAATCCATATACTACCATTGTTCCGACCCTCAATCCATATACTACCATTGCTTCACTCCTCAATCCATATACTACCATTGCTTCACCCCTCAATCCATATACTACCATTGTTCCGACCCTCAATCCATATACTACCATTGTTCCGACCCTCAATCCATATACTACCATTGCTTCACCCCTCAATCCATATACTACCATTGTTCCGACCCTCAATCCATATACTACCATTGCTTCACTCCTCAATCCATATACTACCATTGTTCCGACCCTCAATCCATATACTACCATTGTTCCGACCCTCAATCCATATACTACCATTGTTCCGACCCTCAATCCATATACTACCATTGTTCCGACCCTCAATCCATATACTACCATTGCTTCACCCCTCAATCCATATACTACCATTGCTTCACTCCTCAATCCATATACTACCATTGTTCCGACCCTCAATCCATATACTACCATTGCTTCACTCCTCAATCCATATACTACCATTGCTTCACTCCTCAATCCATATACTACCATTGCTTCACTCCTCAATCCATATACTACCATTGTTCCGACCCTCAATCCATATACTACCATTGTTCCGACCCTCAATCCATATACTACCATTGCTTCACTCCTCAATCCATATACTACCATTGTTCCGACCCTCAATCCATATACTACCATTGCTTCACCCCTCAATCCATATACTACCATTGCTTCACTCCTCAATCCATATACTACCATTGTTCCGACCCTCAATCCATATACTACCATTGTTCCGACCCTCAATCCATATACTACCATTGCTTCACTCCTCAATCCATATACTACCATTGTTCCGACCCTCAATCCATATACTACCATTGCTTCACCCCTCAATCCATATACTACCATTGCTTCACTCCTCAATCCATATACTACCATTGTTCCGACCCTCAATCCATATACTACCATTGTTCCGACCCTCAATCCATATACTACCATTGTTCCGACCCTCAATCCATATACTACCATTGCTTCACTCCTCAATCCATATACTACCATTGCTTCACTCCTCAATCCATATACTACCATTGCTTCACTCCTCAATCCATATACTACCATTGCTTCACTCCTCAATCCATATACTACCATTGCTTCACTCCTCAATCCATATACTACCATTGCTTCACTCCTCAATCCATATACTACCATTGTTCCGACCCTCAATCCATATACTACCATTGCTTCACCCCTCAATCCATATACTACCATTGTTCCGACCCTCAATCCATATACTACCATTGCTTCACTCCTCAATCCATATACTACCATTGTTCCGACCCTCAATCCATATACTACCATTGTTCCGACCCTCAATCCATATACTACCATTGCTTCACTCCTCAATCCATATACTACCATTGCTTCACCCCTCAATCCATATACTACCATTGCTTCGCCCCTCAATCCATATACTACCATTGCTTCACCCCTCAATCCATATACTACCATTGTTCCGACCCTCAATCCATATACTACCATTGCTTCACTCCTCAATCCATATACTACCATTGTTCCGACCCTCAATCCATATACTACCATTGCTTCACTCCTCAATCCATATACTACCATTGCTTCACCCCTCAATCCATATACTACCATTGTTCCGACCCTCAATCCATATACTACCATTGCTTCACTCCTCAATCCATATACTACCATTGTTCCGACCCTCAATCCATATACTACCATTGTTCCGACCCTCAATCCATATACTACCATTGTTCCGACCCTCAATCCATATACTACCATTGCTTCACTCCTCAATCCATATACTACCATTGTTCCGACCCTCAATCCATATACTACCATTGCTTCACTCCTCAATCCATATACTACCATTGCTTCACTCCTCAATCCATATACTACCATTGTTCCGACCCTCAATCCATATACTACCATTGTTCCGACCCTCAATCCATATACTACCATTGTTCCGACCCTCAATCCATATACTACCATTGCTTCACCCCTCAATCCATATACTACCATTGCTTCACCCCTCAATCCATATACTACCATTGTTCCGACCCTCAATCCATATACTACCATTGTTCCGACCCTCAATCCATATACTACCATTGTTCCGACCCTCAATCCATATACTACCATTGCTTCACCCCTCAATCCATATACTACCATTGCTTCACCCCTCAATCCATATACTACCATTGCTTCACCCCTCAATCCATATACTACCATTGTTCCGACCCTCAATCCATATACTACCATTGCTTCACTCCTCAATCCATATACTACCATTGTTCCGACCCTCAATCCATATACTACCATTGCTTCACTCCTCAATCCATATACTACCATTGCTTCACTCCTCAATCCATATACTACCATTGTTCCGACCCTCAATCCATATACTACCATTGCTTCACTCCTCAATCCATATACTACCATTGCTTCACTCCTCAATCCATATACTACCATTGCTTCACTCCTCAATCCATATACTACCATTGTTCCGACCCTCAATCCATATACTACCATTGCTTCACTCCTCAATCCATATACTACCATTGTTCCGACCCTCAATCCATATACTACCATTGCTTCACTCCTCAATCCATATACTACCATTGTTCCGACCCTCAATCCATATACTACCATTGTTCCGACCCTCAATCCATATACTACCATTGCTTCACCCCTCAATCCATATACTACCATTGCTTCACTCCTCAATCCATATACTACCATTGCTTCACTCCTCAATCCATATACTACCATTGCTTCACTCCTCAATCCATATACTACCATTGTTCCGAC